GGCCCGCAGGGTCGGTAGAAGGTAGGGTGCTGCTCGGGTGATGACTCAGGCCGGGGGCCCGTATGCACCCCTCGCCTAAGCCGAAGGGAAGGCAGGACTGAAGAGAAGGAAGATGGGGGCTAAAGGGAGGAAAATAGATTGTTTAAAGCGAAGCGGTGGCCTGAATCTCCGTGGTTCACTTCAGTTCTCTTGTGGCCTAGAACGAACACGGCTGCTGGTGTTTCCTCTAAACGAAAAAGTTAATGGCAAAAAAGAGCAAATTGTCTTAGCTGGATAAGCTCTCAGAAATGGAAATGTTTTTTGTGGCTCAATGAAAAATTGCTGACCTTTAGGCTGTGTGGTTTACTTCAATCTTCCAGATGTTCCTTGAAACGCTTTTGCCAGCATCTGCCTTGTGTTGCAGAGAGCGGTAGCTCAGCTGTACCCCACTGTTGCACACTGCTACGTCCCAAAAACCAAGGGTGGGGGATAGGCTTTTTCCCTAGTGTGCACGAGAAGGTTCAGGACAAACTCCTCTGTGGCCAGAGTCAAAACCAGTGCTTTTTCAGTGCAGAAACAAGTCGTGGCATGCTCGCTGGAGGCAAGAGGCCCATTCCACAATCAAACATACATTCGTGTACCAAACAATGGATGTCCAGGCACTAAAATGGACAAAGTGTTTTGGGGATGTGGAAGAGTCTTTGGGCAAATAGCACCTTACTGGAGAATGTAATTCCAAGCCTTAGTTTCTTTCTGCTTTTGTAGGATAGACCAAGCACAAGTGGAGTCTGATTCTTAGAGATATGTAGGCATCTACTTACTGTTATGAATTTGTGGAGTTGAGGAGGCCTCTTAGGCATGTGCTAGTTAACATAATAACAGTAATGAAAGATGTTGAAGCCTTTTCTAAAGAGGAGTATTTTGGGGTTTTTTTTGCCTATTATAACCTACCTCATGAAGATGAATTGACATTTCTGCACTGACACAATAATGTTTATAGCTGCATATTCATCCCTGTCTTAAATTGATGTCATTGAAAGTGGGATTTAAGAAAAACTGTGAGGAAAACATCACTCATTGGAGTGAGCAGAAAAAGGTACAGTGAATTTCTCTCTGCAGACCTGGTTCAGCCTCACTTGGGAAATTGCCTGAACTTTTCGCATGCAGACAAAACTACTTTAAGCTACACAGTGGTGAAGTAGAAAGCTCTGGTTTTTGTGGCCTTTCCCTCCTGCTCCATCCCTTCCCTATCACATTGTTCCCATCTGCCCTGTCCTTCCCTTTCCCTCCATTACAGTCCTCATTCCCCATTGCCCCCCTCCCTGGGAAGGAGGATATGTGCAGTTTATCTGAGGCCCACCTTCTCCATTCAGTGAGCCTCAGATATGTTCCACAAGCTCCCTCTTTTCTATTTGCTTCCTGATTTCTCCATTCACCCTGCCCTCATCCCCTCAGATACAGGCAATAACTTAGGCAGCTTTGGAATTTCTACTGTTTCCACTCATGTATAGACAGTAGGGGAAGCACTTATTCAACATAGCTTCTTTCTTTGTTTCCTAGCTGTAGATGGAGTCTGAAGATGAACAGGAGGCTGCGACCACCTGGATAGTACAAGAATCTGTTGGGAACGTAGATTCCACTAATGTCAGACAAGATGCCAAACAAGAAATGGCAGCTAGTTCATGGGTGCGGAGGACAGGGAGGTGCTGTAAAGAGTGGTTCTTGCAGTCACAATGTAAGATTTTTTTCTTTGGTAAGGACACCTTCCTGCAGGAAGTCTGAAGTCTAGCTCCAAATCTAGTTTCAGGTCCTCTGGCTTGGACTAGACAAAACTTGGGATTTTACTCCTAGGCAAAGCTGTAGTCACAAAAATTAAGATAACTGTTATGTTTGATCCAAGTGTGAACTGTTTATGTTTGATCTTTTTGCGTGAAAACAGGCATTTTTCAATGTGGTATTTCACCTGTATGAAATACTCTTGGATAAGACGTAGGAAGTAAAGCCAAACCTCACTAGAGAAAATAGTCTGTGCCTTTGCAGCAGATTAGCTTGCACATCTGCATTGAAATCTGTGTGCAAAGGACAGCTTGTGACAAAGAGAAACCACATTTGATTCAAGACTGCAGCTGTATTCTGAACGTCAACCTTTAATGTTTGAATTGAGTGAGAACATTCTCCTGTTTTACAAATGTGGATGTAGCTTGATTTGAGTTAGTGATGCCTACAAGTTCTTGGCCTCCAGAGGTTATTGCTAAGAGGCCTGCAAAACGTAGAGGAGATGATAAACTTGGAACTGGAAGACTTAAATTTGTGGGATCAACACATCTGTGGAAAACTAGGAAAACTTCAGGGTGTATATGGATCAAAAAAAATGCCGATTACGTGATAGTTGACCATTTTACCAAAATGGTAACTGTCCAGTTATATAAATGTCAATTCAAGGTGCAGTGTTTGACTTCAGTAGTGCTTTATATTTACATACTTGGAGCTTAAATGAAAGGCTGTCCTGCTGCTGTCTCATTTAATACTGAAATACAGTGTGAGCCTAAGTGCTCATATATACAAAACCATTAATGATTTTCTTTTTCACAGTCTGCTGGCTATGCCTACTTCTTGGATTTGTGCTGGGGGTCATCGTCATTGCAGTTGGTAAGCTTTTGGAACATTTTCTATTTGAGAAATGTTTCTTCTGACTACTGGACTCCAGGATCACAGCAGTCAAGTGCACCAACATTAGTACTCTAGTCACAAAACCTTGGACTTCTATCACTATTGCAGTTGTTTCCATGTTGGTATAAGGTTGAATAACCTCCCAGGCAAAATTTAAAAGGAGAGACAATTCTCTCTACAGATAAAATCCAGATGATTCAGCTGTAAACGCCTTTTTTTTCTTTTTTTTAACTTTTTGCTACATCCTTACTACTCTTAAGAGTGTAGTTTCTTGGCCTGGCTGTGCATATGGTGTATGTATGTCCTGTCTGTGCTTATCACTAGTAACTTACCTGATTATACCAGCTAGAGCACTAAGTCAGCATCACATCTGTAGACTCCAGGTTTATTGTGTGGGCTGCTCATGTATTTGGTCTTGAGGGCTCCTTTATTGTCATGCATGGAAGACAGCTACGTAATACAGCTAGCTTGTCTTTTTCACAAGTAGTCTTTGGGGATCATTCTGCCTTTTTGTTTTTAAAAATCTGTTTGTGGTGCGTGCTGTATTTTTAAGAAGTCATCCTTACCTCCCACTGGCACAGTGGAGGCCAGATGTACTCCTGCTGTCCCATGCAGAGCTCTTCTGTAGGAGCAAAGGCTGTGCTGCCCACAGTGTTACCTGAGGTATCTAAGTCACTGGGTGCATGTGCATCTCAATGGAGCCTCCACAACCCCTTCTGCACAGGTAGCTCTTGAATCTCTGCGTTAAATATATCTTTGGTCTGCCTTCTGCAATAGCATGAGGTATAGTAGGGAGGTCCTCTGCATGTACATGGAAGCAAATGGAGGATGATGGTGACATCTGTCCCTGTTGATTTTCCTTTGCTTTGTTAGGCTTTTATTTAAATGGAATCAGTCACATTTTCTTGGAGGGGGTGAGGGCAGTGCTCACAGATGACTTGTTAATGGGTCTCCAAGTATATATAGCAAAGAAAGCATCTAATTAGAAAGGAAAAGAGAGCCAGTGTGGCAACAGCAGGTTGTAGAATCTGGAAGATCAATTCACTTCCTGCAAGCCCCTCTACTCACATAATGGCCAGTTACTTCCATTTCAGTGTTGGCCATCTCCAAGCTTAAGCAGTGAAAAAATGCGCTTTGGGTGCAGAAGGTCTGGGATTCAATCCCAGCAGGATGACCCAGGAAATACACTTTATACCCTGGGTGAGCCTAGTTGTGTTAGAAAAGACACCATGCTGCACAGGAAAGGTCACTCTAACCACTCAGTAACAGAGCAGATTATTTTTGTTTGGAAAATAGAAAACAAATTAATTGTCTTCATTGCAAGAAATTAAACTCAGCACTGAAACAAAACATGCCAGTGAGTCCTGTCACCCTCACAGAGCAACTGTGACAGATGATGAAGAGAGGGCATCAAAACATGCTGGAAAACAACTCCAACAAACCAAACCATTATCTCCAAATAATAGTCATTTTACCTCTTCATTAACAGACACATATCATTAGCATCATAGCAACACCTAATTGCCTTACCTTCACACAGATTTATCACTCTTAAAGGTCTGATAGAAAATCAAAGTGACTTGTCTTCATGAAATATCTCACCAGTTGTAGATATTCCAGCAGCTTGATTACTTAAAATGATTATTCGATCAACAAATTAACAGTATGAGGTTTATTATCCTATTACTGGATTTAAAATGTGTTGAGTATAAATCAATTGTCAATGCCTCTAATGCTCTAAAATTCAGGAGTGTTTTCCAAACCCTACTTGTTTTCTACTGATTGTGATAATTAGGCTGCGGCCCCCAACTTTCACATTTCTCAGCTGAAGACAGTGCCCGAAAGGCAGGGAACGTCAGGACCCTTGCCCTTCCTTTGGCTTCTCTTCTGGCATCTAATGTGGCATTGGCTTTGAAAAAAATCTGCATTTTAGGTTGAGTTATGCTGATGAATGCTAAGATTTTAGCAGTTTCTCTCTTTTCCTTTGTAGTTGTAACACAATCTTACCACGGAAAATTTCCATCTGAAGAGTGCCCCAGTGAGTGGATAGGTTACAGAAAGAAATGCTATTTCATCTCAGAGGAGGAAAAAGACTGGACATCTAGTCAGACCTTCTGCGCTAAGAATGAATCCTTGTTAGCCATTTTTGAAAACCAGGAAGAAATGGTAATGGGGAAAAAAACCCAACAACAAAACAGAACACAACTTCTGTATTTCTCTCTTTCCTTGACAAAGCTTTCTTCTTTTTTTTTTTTTGCATGCAATGCTTATCCTTTACATTTTTGTAAAATAAGAAAGCTGTATGAATTCAGGTAGTAAAAAAGTGCCTGCTTTGTCACTGTAAGTAGCTGCAGCAGGTGCAGCACCAGTACCAGCTGCCTCACACTGCTTTGGTGCCTGGATTTGACTTGAATGATTATGAGAAGCTCTTTGTTATGAATCAGTTTGCCTAGTTTTACTTTTCTCTCTTAATGGACCTTCATCTTCAAAGCAGGTATGAATCTGTCCAACATCCAGTACAGACAAATAAATGAATACTTTAGTTTCTATAAGAAACCAAACATTTAAAACCATTTCTCAGCAGAGTGGAAATTACCCATCTTTATCTACTTGCATCTGGTTTTAGATATGCTTTAATGCCTCTTAGAAACACATGCTTATATCCATGGTGGGAATATATCCCGGCTGAAGCTGGCTTGGATGTTTTCTCATGCTAATAAGTTTGTTATAATACTTTGATTTGCTTGTATTATGGTCCAGTTGCATTGATGAATGCTAGTGACGTTACTACTGCATGGTACTAAAACTGTAATATGCTTTTACAGATCTGCTATCTTTTGAGTATTGTCAATGAAAAACTAGTTTCATCAAAAAGTTAGTTTTTAGGTAGATTGACATTTGAGCTTTCTTCTTACTGTGATTATTAAATAGAGGTCAAAAGGCTACTTTTCCAGTTGGCTGGTACATTAGTGGTGTAGCAAATAGTGAAATGGAGGAAACCTCAGTGAAATTACACAGATTAAGTCACATCTGAATTTGACTTGAGCTAATAAATATTTTTACAGTGACAAGAATTTCAACAATGAGCAGGATGCAGGGCCTGGTTTTTACTTCACGTATCAGTCCCTTACTGAATGTGGTCTCTCCTTTTATCTCATAATCAGACTCCTTTCTTTGCCAATAATTCCAACCATATTTGCCAGCTTGTCCCTTCTCTACAAGCCCCTTCTGTATTGCCGCCCTGTGAGTGATCACCTTTACCGAATTTGTAAATGCCTCTCTTCCTTACGCATGTAAAAGCTTAACTTCTAATTTGGTGCCTGTGATATTCAGCTGATAATTGAAATCGGTGTTATTTAAGCTGCTGCTTCAAAACCTTATACCTAGAGACTGTAAACCCAACTTAGGAAAGAAAAGCACAGTAACACTGACATTGACCTACTGGGTCAGATCAGTGCTCTGTGGTACGTGTTGCCTGGTTTCCAGCACTAGATAGCGTGAGCCACACCAGAAGCAGGTGCACCAAAAACTGTAGAAATGACCTTGGGACCATACCGAGACAGTTTTTTTGTGAACTATATTGAATTGAGGTTGTTAGGGGAGAGTGGAGGAGTATAAGTGTGCACTATTTCCATGTCCATTAGAGTCCATGCTGACAGCTAATATTTATCTCATTGTTAAGTTCACTGAGTCTAAAGAAAGATCGCTTGTTGCAGGGAGTTCTGTAATATTAACCCATTGCAAATGCTGTTTTTGTTATCTTCCATCATTCTTTGCTGTGTTTGGTACAGGTTGTTGCAAACTTCTGGAGCAGTGAACTGTCTTTTACTCTTTTTTTATCTGTATATCCTACAGATAAAAAAGTTTAAATTTGAAAGCTGGAGAGGAACTTTTTACAAGGACATGTAGTGATAGGACGAGGGGTAATGGCTTTAAACAGAAAGAGGGTAGAGTTAGATTAGATATTAGGCAGAAATTCTTCACTGTGAGGGTGGTGAGGCACTGGAACAGGTTGCCCAGGGAGGTTGTGGAGGCCCCATCCCTGGAAGTGTTCAAGGCCAGGTTGGATGGGGCTTTGGGCAACCTGTTCTAGTGGAGGGTGTCCCTGCCCATGGCAGGGGGGTTGGAACTAGATGATCTTTGAGGTCCCTTCCAACCCAAACCATTCTATGATTCTATGAAATTTAAAATACATAAATAATAATTGAGAAAGGGAGGAATTCCCATATGCCAATCTGAAATGCAGGAAACACCTGTATGTACCAGCCTATTTAGACCAAGCTGCATATGTAGACAGACACAACCAATACATGGTGTTTAGGTATTTTTGTATGTAGTGAACAGTAATAATTTTCAAGGGCATAGAATTGAATAACTTCACTGGAGTGTATAGTACTATAAAGGTCAATTCAAAGCCAGAATTAGGCTCTTATCTTTCAATGAAATGCTTATGAAAGTGTTGTAGATGACAGAATAATGAGCTAGTCTTCCTCAAAAGTCACAGGAGGAATTTGATTCTCATTTTGAGAGCTCATGTTGACAAACATGCTTTTTTTATTTTAGCATTCTTTAGCTAAGCGTTTGAAAATAGATGACTCCTGGATTGGATTGCGCAAGAAAGGTGAAAGCTTCTACTGGGAGAATGGTGTTGCCTTGAAGGTGGACTTGTAAGTTCCTTGTGATTATCTAACATGTACTTAAGCAAATATACAATTAGCGTTTACAGCACAATGTGATTTCTATCAGGATTCTTTTTCTTCCCGGTGATTTATGACTTTGAAAATTAACTCTTTGCAGCTATTACTGATCTGACTGCATTAGCAGCAATGTAAAGAAGTCCCTGATTCAAGAAGGATTTTTTGGTAGCTCAGCACATGAAGATAATGTTATCCCTATTTACCTTAATTTATACATATTTTTCACTACATAGTATAGACATTTCAGTCTCTTTTCAGATCTTTAGAATTCTTGGCTTCCAGTGTGGTCCTTTGTGCTCGTGTTTTTGAAATACACAATATCTAGCAAATACACATACATTTTTTAGGGATGTTACAGAATGAAGTGACAGGTATGACGGAATAATCATCTTCAGATGGATTAAGCAGCTTCATAAGAAAAATCATATCATCTGCTTTAGTGAGTTTGTCACGACCTGCAGACAACCCAGATTCCCCCCCTATTTATATTAGAAAATGTCTGGGCTACAACAGTTTTGCATCAGGCCCATCAAACAGCAGTTCCCCTCGTCTTGCTCTCCAGAGCATTTATGACCTCAGTAATTATAGGCAGGATATATCATAAGCTGTCTTTTGTCTCTCCTCCTATTATTGTGTGATACCTGGTATGGACCATTCATAGAAACAGAGATTTGTGCAACACTGCATGAGCTAAACAGGCTTTTCTAACATGATCTATCACTGACCTTGCTTTTAGCAGCTGAAACTACCATATCACAAGGGACCAAAGTCAACTGGAAACTACTTCAGCAGAAGTTTTGTTTTACAGCATGCTAAAAATAAATATTTGAGTCAGCAGTAGGAATTATTTAGTAATCACTGTTTTCTTCCGGTATTTTTTCAGGTTCCAGATACGGAATCACTCCGAGTGTGCCTACTTGGATGCCTTCACTATTTCTACATCAGCATGCTCTTTGCCCCGGCGCTGGATCTGTATCCAGCTTCCCTAAAGGGATGACTTACATCTTCATTTGATATTGACAGTTAAGATAAGATATTGACTTATCCATTATAAGGTCAGTTTGGATAGATAGCAGGCCTCCTGTGGCCGTGCTGTCTCTGACCATCTGGAAGCCTAAAAGTCAGAGAGAAGAGGTTTTTTCTCTGCTTCCAAAATGTGCTTCTAGGTCTTCTGTCCTAGGAGAGAAGAATAATGTGCTTAGTCCAGTTTACAGATCACATACTATGGAGTTTATCAGTGCTGGCTGACGAAGCACAACCCCTCAGCTGCTCCATTTCTGGGGTGAGCGTGAGGTATCTACATTAGCTTCTCACAGTTGTGCTGTGTGGCAGAAATCTTCAGCAGACGGTAGAGCAGATAGCTGGGGGCAGTAACCTGCCTCAGTGAGATCTGCTGGAATTTCTGTTGGAGCCTTAGTTGGCTGGTTACTGAAGGGACAACAGCAGAGGGTTCTGCATTTCTCTACCTCTTGCATCTTACGTGCTAATGATGACAGAGTCATAGAATCATAGAATCATTTAGGTTGGAAAAGACCCTTGAGATCATCAGGTCCAACTGTAAATGCTGTAGCAACCTGGTAAGAAGTTCCTGTAAAATGTCTACTATACATGTGGTGCTAAAGTTGACAGGCTGTGTCACTGAATTACTTTTTGTGATGCTGTCGGTAGGGACACTAGTCCTGAATCAGGTCCCACTGATGCCAGCTTCACACCCAAGTGCTTCCACAGCCAACTGCCCTAAGGTTATCCCTGCTTTACACTGGTACAGATGAAATCAGAACTCATACTTTTCATTTCAACTGTTGTGCAAGTCGTTACGAGTTGTATAAATAATTTATTTTGATACAAACAGAATACTAAGAGGAATGTAATGAGTCTCAAGGACTTGCAATTTGGAAAGGTGTCTTACTGAGTTCCTGGGAAGGGGCTGTTTGAGAGAGGGGCAGGAAGAGGTCTAAGACAGTTTGGGGCTCACAGTAATTTGGACATTCCCTTTGGGATTCGGAGACAAAAAGGTAACCAAGAACTGTCTTGAATAAATTGCACTTACATAAAACTACAGATTTTGTTTTGTGTTTGTCTAGGCTGAACTAAACTATATTCTGTTTATCAAAGGCCTTCCCCATGTTGGCAGTTTTCAGGGATAGGCTAATTTTTATTAAAAGAAAGGTTTGACTTGAGATCAGCAGCTTTCAGGCAGCACAAGCAACTGGTATGCCAGTCAGTGATATTTGCACACAGACACTCCTTCAGCTTGTTCTTCTGAAATTAGTGTTCAGTATGTTGAAGGATATTAGTTGTTTAATATAAATAAGTAGGGTTTAATTAGAATAAATTATGTAGGATTATAGTAGGGTGTGATTTGTGCTGTTTGCTTAGATTTACTTAGCACGAGTAGCTAGATTTGCTGAAGCCCTTAGGCCGCGATTGAAGTATTTTTCTCAGTAATTTTCCTAGTAGTTTTCCTAACAGCTAGTACAGTGCTGTGTTTAGTCTTTTAGTATGGGAAAGTATTTTGATGTCATGCTAATGTCTCAGTAGCGTTTATCCAAGTCTGGGACTCTTCAGTTCTCCATGTTCCACCAGCAAGGGCAGGTGTACAAGGAGCGTAAACGAGAAGATAAGGAGGCTCCAACCTTTGGGGAAAACTGCAGAAACTGCAAGTCAGCAAGATAAGAGTCTGCGTGCCTGGACACAGAAGAAGGATCCAATTAGATGTTAGAAGACCCTAGACCAAAAACCACCATTAGACTAAAGGACACATGAACAGTGTGTGAGGGGTGGGCGTATGGGACCCCAGGGTATAATTGCCTCAGGATTTCTTTGTTGTGGGTCCCTCTCTTTGGAGGCACCCAGCCTGGAATGGTCCTGCTGCTGTACCTTTCAATTAAATTAAGTATTTTATAAAATTGACACTTGAGACTCTGCTGTGGGAAACCTAAGGTCAAGCCTGAATAAGGAGGAGATGTGCCCAAGAATAAGTGTGTGTGTGCGTGACAGCATGAATGCTGTGTGAATGCCTGGGCAGCAGCTACTCTAACAAGTATCGGGTGCTGACGATATAAAATACATGTACACAGCTGCAAGGGGAAGGAATTACTCAAGAGTGACTTGATATAGCAACAGTGACACACTCACACAAGCCTGTGTTAAATAAACAAGCATTGCAGTAAAAGTGAATCAAATATTTCTAAAGAGAGATGGGAAGACCTAAATGTCCAGTTGTGGAGGGTTGACCCAGGCTGGAGGCCAGGTGCCCACCAGAGCCGCTCTATCACTCCCCTCCTTAACTAGACAGGGGAGAAAAAGTGTAACAAAAGGCTCGTGGGTCAGGATAAGGACAGGGAGAGATCACTCACCAGTTACCGTCATGGGCAAAACAGACTGAACTTAGAAAAAATTAATCTAATTTATTACTGAGCAGAACAGAGTAAAGCAATGAGAAATAAATCCAAATCTTAAAACTCCTCCCCCCCCACCCCTCCCTTCTTCCCAGGCTCAGCTTCACTCCCGGTTTCTACCTACTCCCCCCTCAGCAGCACATGGGGACAGGGAAGGGGTTGTGGTCAGTTCATCACACGTCTCTGCCGCTCCTTCCTCCTCAGGGGGAGGACTCCTCACACTCTTCCCCTGCTCCAGCTTGGGGTCCCTCTCACAGGAGACAGTCCTCCACCTTCTCCAACGTGAGTTCTTCCCATGGGCTGCAGTTCTTCACCAACTTCTCCAACGTCAGTCTCTCCCAGGGGGTGCAGTCCTTCAGGAGCAGACTGCTCCAGCGTGGGTCCACCATGGGGTCACAAGTCCTGCCAGCAAACCTGCTCCAGCCTGGGCTTCCCACGGGCCACAGCCTCCTTCAGGTGCCTCCACCTGCTCTGGCGTGGGGTCCTCCACGGGCTGCAGGTGGAATCTCTACACCCCCTCATCCTCCCTCCACAGGCTCCAGGGGGATCTCTGCTCTGGTGCCTGAAGCACCTCCTCCCCCTCCCTCTTCATTGACCTGGATGTCTGCAAAGTTTCTTACATTTTCTCACTCTTGTCTCTGGCTGCAAAAATCTCCCCTATGTTCTTTTTTTCACTTCTTAAGTATGTTAACGCAGAGGCGCTACCTCCGTTGCTAATGGGCTCAGCCTTGGCCAGGGGCGGGTCCGGCTGGCATTGGGTCTATCAGACACAGGGGAAGCTTCTAGCAGCTTCTCACAGAAGCCACCTCTGTAGCCCCTCCCCCCCCAAAAACCTTGCCATGCAAACCCAGTACACTAGTCATGTGTGATTCCTTGAAGTTCAGCAGAATTGTCATTTCTCTCATACATTCATTTGTAAGTTGCATAAGAACCTGTTAGACAAATCCTTTCCTTCTTGCAAATGTCCCAGTTTCAGCTATTTTCCAACCATGCATGGTAAACCTAAAAAATAGAAGACACTTCAGAGAGAGATCAATCTCAAAGCCAGCAGTCATTCAAATTAAGTCTTTAGTCTCCATGTCTATTCAGAGATCATTGGACATCAAGATCCTAATTTTTTTTACCCACATTCAAATTTTGCCTCTCCAAAATTGGGGAAAGAGGAATCTCTCCAACATGCTCACATTCTGCAGCATCTTTAAGTAGCAGGTACAGTACTTTACTGTCATTAGAAAGAGTTGTACTGCAATGGGAATATATGAATCCAGAGTGATTGAAAGAAATTCCACCTCCACCAGTTACAGATAGATGAACAGAGAGCATGATTCACTGTAAAATCACTGGCACTTCCTAAAACTATCAATTTTGCAGGTTACAGAAGCTCACTGAATTGAGTTTCTTTCAATCAATCAGAATCAAAGTTGATGTGCTGCTGAAACAGGAAAGAAATGCCTCTATCCCCAGAACGAGGGCATTTTCACCATGTGATTTATAAATCCTGTGCCAAATTAAAGTCAAGTCACTTCCAGAAAAGTATTAATACTTGGACGGGGGAAGAAAACACAGAGAGATGACTACTTAAGCATCCAAGGTTCTTAAATTGTATTTTATTCCTGTCTTCTGAACCCTGTATATTCTATATCTCACCTCATAATTTATATCTTATCTATACTCCAAAGTTCTGTTCCTGAGCTTTCTGTAGTCTGCCTCATCATCAGAACCTCAGGACCAGCAAGTGTAAAGTCAGAAAAGTGGACTGCTTCTGGCAAGTAGGAAGTGATGTTTTGTATTTGGGGCTTGATTTTTCTCAGATTAATAAAAGGAACAATGACATATCAGTCATTTTCCCATAATCGCCTCCCCTGGCAAATCCCATTAGGGCCAAGGAGGTTGAAGCCATGAAGATGAACATCTGGTACAATCCATGTCTATATGGAGCTGAAACTGTCCTGAAAAGAGATGGTCTTAATCAGGGAGATTGAAGTGATGTACACAGACACCTCCCTGAAACCATTGGTGCCATCCTGTGGTTCAGTGGGCTCTGGAGTGTGAGGAGGAGCAGGGACACTGACCAGGGAAAGGGGACAAAGGAGTCATCAGAAGGCAGAGTTAGGAGAAACAATGGAATGGGAACAGAGGGGAACATACTATGGCACATAGCAATGGATTTTGCACTGATAGAGAGTGAGCAGCTGCCCTGCCTAGCCGTCTAAAATTTGAAAGGCTCTGAGGGAAAATTCATCCCAGCTATTTTAGTATGGGATACTTGGTCCTTGGAGGGTCTGGCTTCTCACTACTGCTTATAGAGGAAGCCTAGACATAAAAATTAGGATACATGCCTACTTTTACTGGCACTACTAATGTTAAGTGAGATAAATGTAACTCCGTTGCCTGATGAATTCCCACTTTCTGAGAAGCTGTCCTGTCTCACTGAAATCCTGATAGTAACCACTACGTTTAGTTTATCTGGCAACTGCTTATGTCACAGGCAATAATCCTTTTTCTGCTAGCACCAACTGAAAGCTCTCTAGAAAGTGTGGTTATAGGGACCCACCAGACCTAGAGGTCTTAGGGTTCAGAAACTGCAG